AGACAAAAAATATGAAAAATGTCTCACAAATACTGTCTTTTAAGTCCAAAAATCATAAAAACTAGTAATGTTTATTGTTTGATTGTCTTTTTGACTGACGGGGATATCTATCTGTCACTCGCAGGGTTGCCAAGTCTAACGACGATCACGTCCCGTGGTGGAGGGTGCGACATGAATCTTTTACATTTGCTGGTTTTGAATTTAAACATAGCACTTATGATAGTTGGAACTAGATTGATAACACTTCTTGAAGAATATTTGAAAAGTGTGAACACGATCATGGTCTGTTGTCAAATTGCAAATAAGGTATCTGAAAATTCTTACATACAGTGGACCTTCGTCATAGTTTACTATCCTGTTTATGATCATCTTTGGCAAATGTGTTGTATCATCAAATTGATGAACCAGTATAAGGAAGCTCTTATATACCTACATACAGTGGATTTTTTATGAAAATTTACTAGGTATCATGATTATAAGCATCTTTGGTAGATTGTTCGATCCGGAATGGAAAAGATCTTCTATTTATGAAAATATTTTTGGTATCATCTAACGTTGCAATCAGTGCACAAAAACTGTGACATATGATTTATAGCATAACCCGCTGCCCTCAACACAAATTTAACACACAGGTCGCCTAGCCGTGGGGATGCAGTGGTCGGGATGAATATAACGGCAGCAACTGATGATTTGGACATGTCTGGTAACAACGTATGAAGTGAAACTCGCTAACTTCACAACTTTGAAGATTTTGTACAGTTTCTTTGAAAAGGATGAAACATATGTCTGATCTGTCAAGGTAATGTCGCAGCCAAATGGCAGTCGGTCTTTCTGGACGCTCGCCAAGCAGATTGAAAAGAACTTGTCACACAGTAGCCTTCCACACTTACGTGTCAGGATGGAACGATTGTAACTGACTCGAAGGCCAAGCCTGAAGTGCTTGCCAAGATCTTTGCTGCCAACTTCACCATGGACGCTCTCCAACAAAGCTTCTGGTCCTGACTTGATTCCTGCTACTGTACTGAAGTGTGTGCAGCGGAGCTTTCTCCAGTTCTTTCGTAGCTCTTCCAGATATCTGATGAATCCAGAAAACTGTGCATTTGCTCATGTCCAACCCATCCCAAAAAAAGGATCTGAAACCGACCCTTACAATTACAGGCCTATAGCTCTGCTTTCTGTTATAAGTAAGGTGATGAGAGGTGCATAAATCGTGAGCTTCTGGACTACCTCGAACGTCTCGGCTTGATTAGCGACAGGCAGTATGGTTTCCGACACCAGCGATCCGCAGGGGACCTCCTAGCTTATGTCGTTGGTCTTGATATCACAAAAGCGTTCAATCAGCTGTGGCACGCTGACCTTTTATGCAAACTTCCATCTCATGACCTCCCAGAAAGGCTTTGCAGATGGGTGGCGGCTGACTTTCTCTCAGGCAGCAAGGTATCCGTCGTTCTTCTTGCACATCAAGGACCCTCTTTCCTGTACGATCAACCGAATCCACAGCTTCGCTGATGACAGAACTCTACATGCAGGAATTCAGAGTGACAAGGCGATCTCTGCAGCTGAGCTGGAAAAAAGAAGATTAGCGACGACTTCCTCTCTGACGAGAGTCCTGGAGGTTATCACTGCTTGGGGACGCAACAAGAGTACAGTGTAATGCTTCCAAAACACAGTACTGTACTGTGATGAATAAAAAGCGTCCTAGCGCTCATACGGTTCCGATGGATGGCCAGGTTCTGCCAAAGAGCCGTTCATTTATGCTATTCGTTTGGGGCTAAGAAGTACTTCCGCATGACCTTCTCACTCTATACAAGGCCCAGAAAAGACCTAGCCTCGAGTATTGCTCACACGTTTGGGATGCCGCCGCCTCGACTATATTATCTATGCTTGATGTTGTCCGACTGATCGATGACTCTTCTCTAACGAACAGTATTGGGACTCTTTCACACCGGTGGCCGTCGGCGATCAAGTTCTCTTCTACCGCTACACCAACGGGCTTTGCTCCTCAGAGTTCTCTTCCATGATGCCGCCGCGCGATGTGCCTGCCATACAGACCCGCAGGCTTATTACCTAACTTCCAACCGACTCGAGTTGCTCGATAGTTGCTGTCAAACGCAAATTTCGTATTATGTATCAGTCGGCGCGTCTCAATCGGCGTCCGTCTACGGTGGCGCCTCTATGGAGCAACTGGTGAACGAAAAGTGCATTCTTTTGTTAGGAGTATCAAAAAATTGGTATTCCCTAACTCATTGACAGCGACCCAATAGCAACTTACTAGCGATTTGAACTGTCAAATTAACAACTGCTCAGTGGTGGTCGACTAGTCGGTTGCTAGTGTTTTGTTTGGATAAATTTGTCAAAACTATTCATCTTTTTAACAAGAAAGGTAAGTATAACAACTTATAGAAGCATTGGAAAGCGAAAGAATGCACGTTCGAAGACGTATTTTTCAGTATCTATGACTTGAAGTCCATATTGATTATCAAATAAGCTTCCTACCACAGTATAGAAACATATTGGTTTTAGGTATTAGCAGCACTTCTGGTGCTGGCCGCTGGTTCCTACTAGAAACATATTGGCATGAGTTATTTACATGGGCTCAGTCAACCTAGTGTATCCAAAGCACTAAGGGAAATGGTGGATGCATTAAATCAACCAGACTATATATATCTAGGCATATTTACTTCCCTCAAACACTGTCAGAGAGGATAGTAATTATATTGCCATGCATATTAAGAAAGTGAGATCGCATATAAAATATTTTCACATGTCCATATTCAACAATATCTATTTTAGAGGATTTGGAACAAGCCTAAAAGTACGCTTTGAGCGAAGATCAAGAAAAATTGCAAAATGCATTTGTAACAAAAAGCACTGCCTTTTTAAAATATAGTTATAAAACCGCTGACCTTTTTGTAATAGAAACCACAACTTTTTTATCAATTTAAGCATTAGGTACTAAATAAAATCGTAAAAGTTTCAAAAAAACCTGTGTTCCACAATCGCTCAAATCAAAATGGCGGCTAGTGCGCCAGACTCATCACGACGCCGCGCGTATTTGGTTTATTATTAGAACGCAATATTCTAACGATATCATCAAACCATTTTTTGTTCCACTTCCACAATTTTATCATTTGAAATCTCGCTATTCCCTACAAACGTCATTACAAACTAATTATTTACTCAGGGCCGGTTTTATAATCTCTAGTTGACCGGCGGTTGAATTTGAACCGAAATTTCTGTATTATAAACCAGAACCGACGATTCAACCGCCGGTTCACCGCATCTGCGTTCAACCTTAGGTCGATATACCGGTTGAAATGTCAACCGGACGTTAACATCATATCATAACCTAAATTTTATGTTTACATTAATTTGTCGTAACAGTGTACTTCGTCTGCTTATATTTTACCAACTTGGATTATTATAAGCATTTTCAACTATCAATAAAACGACGATTTAAAATAAAATGTCGTCTTCTTCATCTTCGCCTGAAAATATACACGGCAGATTACTTTGGCAAACTAGCAGTGAGGATTCTTCAGATTCTGAAAATGAGAATCGAGTGAAAAGTCCAAGAGCCCCTCGAAATTTTAGAAGACGAGTAGATCACTTTACACGTTGGAATGACGAAGAATTTCGAGTAAGATTTCGCCTTAGCACAATGCTAGAACAGATTACATAATGTTTTAACACCGAAAACTGAAAGGTAAAGATATTTAGTAAATCACATTATTTATACAAAAATGAAATTATAAATAAGAAAAATATCTCAATATAATGTTTATCCTAGGAACTATGCAGTAACAGCAATGCAGCAAATTCTGCTTGTGCTTCGCTTTTGTGCTACAGAATGTATGTTGCAAACTGTTGGAGATTTCACTGGAATCCTTAAGACTACTGCATGTAGAATTGTAAAACGTGTTATTGGTATATTTGCATCTTTAGCAGCAGAATACATCCATATGCCAAACACACAAGAAGAAATTGATGAAGTAAAAAGGAAATTCTATACTATTGCAAAGTTTCCTCGAGTAATAGGAGCCATCGATTGCACTCATGTGAAAATAATTTCCCCAGGTACTTAATCTTTGACTTTGTTGTTAGTCATTTTCTTAATTTAGGCAAATTGGAAAGACTTAATATTAAAACATGTAATACTAACTTTTAGGTGGAGCTAATGCCGAGTATTTTAGAAATAGAAAAGGATATTTTTCTATAAATGTACAAGTAGTAGCTGATCCAAATTTATTGATAAGAAATATTGTTGCCCGATGGCCTGGCTCAACGCATGATCAAACAATACTGAACAATAGCTCAATAAAGGCACAGTTTGAAAATAATAGATTTGGGAACTCTGTAATGCTGGGAGATTCAGGATATGCATTAAAAAAATACTTAATAACACCTATTGTTAATCCAACAACTGAAGTGGAACAAGTATTTAATGAATCCCAAATTAGGAGTCGAAATCCAGTTGAAAGATTATTTGGTGTTTTAAAAAGAAGATTTCCTGTTCTCTCCCTTGGTATAAGATTATCTTTGGAGACAGCACAGACTCTTATTGTAGCATGTGCAGTTCTTCATAATATAGCAGTTAATATGAACGAGCCAGAACCTCTCCAAGATGATGATCAGAATAGAGAATGGGAGGAAGAAGAAAATGTGAATGGAAATGATGTTCATAGGTTGGAACATAACTTTAGAGAAGAATTTCTTATATACTTTATGAATCTATTAGAAGAAAATCAATAAACTATTTTGTATGATAATTTATTGAAATATACGTTATTTATAAATGTATGTATTTGCAACGGTCTAGTGATTTCTTCAAAGTTTAGCTTTAGTAGGTACTTCTATCTTTTTCTAATGAAGTTTAGCAAATTCATACAATGAAACATGTCATGGGATTTATATTTTTCATTATAAATTTATTTTCTATCCTACACCAGAAGAAAAACAACTTTCTAAGTTTTATTAATACTTTATTGATTATGCATCAATTTGTTTCTGCAAGAGTAAAATTTCATATTCTAATTTTTTATTTTGGAGCTGCAAGTTTTTAGCTTTCAACTCGTGTAGTTCCTGCTCATTTTTCATTTTTTGTTCATGGTGTTCTTTGTTTCTTGCAGCTTCTTCATCTAACAACTTCCTTTTTAGAGATGTTAGGCCCTCTTTCGATGACTGTTCTTCAATCCTTTTTCGTTTTCCTTGAAGGACTCTGTGTTTCCTTGATTGTAAGTGTCTTGGTGTGTAATCAGACCAATCTAAAATAAATACATATATATACTACATTGCACTGAGTATATATTAAGCACCTATTATGTATCACTTTAACTGCCAGAGGGGATTGCTGTGGTACTGGTACAGCCGGTGTTTGTAACTCACATGTCTGTTCTAAAGCTTCTGTGTTGCTTTCGGAATCTGAAATTGTGAAAATTGTACAAATGCATTTGTTTTAAATTTTGTCAAAACTATCACCTTCATTTAACACTATAGACATTGATGCAAGATCAACATCCTCTTCATGTAGATTTTCTGTATTTTTATTTGTCTCCTCCATACAAACAGATGCCGCTTCTGAAAAAAATATATAATTAAAGTATTTTTAAGTTTAGATACATAACTGTGGGTGTTCACTGTAATATTACACAATATCCATAGTACCTTCTTTATTTTCAAATGAAGCATCATTGCGGTCACCCACAGATGGCTGCAATCCATGCACTGATAAGCCAATAATACTTTTAATTTTCTCGTAAAGCATAATCACGGCTTTCTTCAGATTTCTCTCATCAGCACCACCACAAAGTTTGCCTCCTCTGAGCTTCATACTTGCGTACTTCTTTTTTCAAATTATCAAATTTACACCTGAGTTGATCAGCTGTTTGTGATTCGGTTGTGGCAGAGTTGTATAGCTCTGCAATTTTCTCCCAAGCTGCTGCCTGAGAAATGATACTAACATTGAACTTTTTGTATTCAATAAAAATTAAAAACTTCACCTTTTGTTTCCACGTTACGGCGTCTGTCCTCTTGCACTCAACAATATTTTTGTATCTCAGAACGATATCTACCAAACTGTGGCAATGTGCCTCGGAAAACATCACTCTTTTGGTTGGTTTAGCAGTCATTTTTAGGCAGAGATAAACCCTTCTATTTTTAGGTAATGGTAATTATCACGTAATTATGAGAAAACATGGATTTAAACAAAACCAGAGGTGACACAGAGAACTGTCAACACTGACAGTGCTGACAGCTCTTTTGCCGTTCTATGTTTTGTACGCCGTACAACATTTGTCTAGATGTCATTGTCATGTCATCAAATTAAGATGACAGAACTGCCAACTGAAAAAATTAAAACTGAACCGTCGGTTGACAAACCGCTACCTGAAAGTAGGATCGTAAACACAATTGTCTTCAACCGACAGTTGAATTTCAACTTTCGGTTGGAAAACCGGCGGTTCAGTTTTACTTTTATGCAACCGGCCCTTAGTCTATACGTAAACAAATCTGAAATTGTCAAAAAATAATTTTCTAGTTAAAATTACTGGAAAGTATGTTTTTCCTTGAGTAATAACAATACTATGACAATAATTATGTGGAAAATGAAAAGTTGTTGTATCGGTTTATTTGTTAACTTTAACCCTTAACTGGTACACTCCGTCTGCGAGACGGAGCAAATTCTTATGTATGGCTATTTAAACTACCTAGTTGGGTCGGTCGGCTTCCACCTCGACCTACCTTCCGCCTAAGATACTCTGTTTCGTTTACCATACGGTAGTCCAAGAATGACGACTGTAGTATATTGCTTTATTAGGTGATAAAGCTGTAGCCCGTCTGGCAGACCGATGTGTACCAATAATGTTAAAATTTCTGTGCTAAATTGGGTATTAGATTTGACTAAAAAAAGTATGATTATAGTACTTCAGCTTTCATTTTATGCCCTACTGTTTGTTTTTTACAATAAATTAATTATGGATGAGCGTCCAGGCCCTTCAAAAATACTTAGCGATGATCCAAATTTTGCTGATCCTGTAATGGAATGGCTAGATGAATGCGACAGTGACACGCATAATGAAAGTGAAACCAAAAGTAAACACGATTCGGATTCAGAGCAATCGACGGGGAATACCGAAGCAAGCAATAGCTACAAACTTTGACAATAAGAAAATTTCCTCACAAGGATCCAAATACGGAGGGGCAAAGAAATGTTTCGTTAGTAAAAATAATTTTATGTGGCGTCATGAACAGTCTCCACAAAATGTGCGCACAAGAAAACATAACATTATAGTGCATTTACCAGTGCTGCGAAATCCTGCCCAAATTTTTAGTAACAATCCTCAAATTGCAGACATATGGAACTTGATTTTCTCAGACGATATGGTACAAGAGATAATACAATGGACAACAGAAAAAATGGCTAAAATGAGAAAAAAATATTCAGAACCTGTTGCGTCGTTTCTGGGCCCTACAAATCTAATAGAACTAAAGGCGTGGAAATTGTCACCTTTGCGACTGGAAACTCAAAAGGAGAACCAAGGATTTGTGTTGCTGTTGTAAAAAACTATTTTTTAGCATGCAGCAAAAAAAAATTGCAGGGAGTGTTTCCAAGAATAAGATGAACAAAATGTATTATGTTCTGTAACACTTATGTTATATAATAAATGTTTCATAGACTTTGAATAACATTTTTATTTTGATTAGCCCAGACTGTTGAGGTTATAATTAATAAAAATACATTTTTACAAAGTGTGTTTCTATTAAAATAATGGATAACAGTTCAGAAAGATAATATAAGTGTAAAAAACAATATTTTTCCTTAACCTGTCCGTCAGACGGAGGAGTACCAGATTTGTTAACAGAATTTATGTGTACCAGTTAAGGGTTAATATAGTTTTTCATATAGAGTAGGCTGTCCTAGCAGTCGAAACATTGACACATACAGTTTTTTCTAGGGTTCTTGTTTTCTTGAATAATGATCCAAAATGTGTATTATTCATCCATGAACGTGAGAATATTTATGCTATAATGTTTGTTAGTGTTGTGAGATCAAATGTCTGATTCCTGCATCATACATTTTTCGTTGCATTAGTGTACCATTTAAAGAATTTGAATAGCATGAATGATTAAGCAAGTTGTACGGTACATATTAACTAACTGCGCGTTCAAAAGTCATTCGCGGTAATCAAAAATCCAACATTGATTAGTGAGGTATGAGCTTTTGATAATTCTGATTTGTTGCATTCTGCTTCTACATTGGCCCGCTTTGTGACCCGCAAACATTCCCCAATTCCCTAGAAAATGATTTGTCTTCTCACAATAACTTCACAAGTCTCAGGTGCTGTTATTTTTGAACATTTATTGGATATTTTATTGCAGTACAGACGTAAACTGTTGCACCCAGGCTTGCGATATATAACAAGGAGCGTTAAACTACGTTGTGTAATCGAATGGAATGAAAAGCCTGTAATTTTAGTTTATAAACTAGTTTTTGTACATGCTATAGTATAAGCGAAAAGTAGTATAATAGAACCATATATACCTTGGTGCTTTTATGAGCACTTTTATAATTACAATGTGCGAGGACCAAATGACCTTCTCCGCGTCGACATATTCGTTTCCCATATACTACCAAATAATCCCATTTATCCGGTAGCCCAAGACTTCCAAGCTGTCAAAATAATTGAATAAATAAACTCAATCAACAAAAATAATTTCAGTTATAAAATAGACTCTGAATTTGCTAGTAGTAAACTATAATATATAATTATTAGTAAAATTCAAAAATACATAAAGGGTGCAGTGATATGTCTGAGTCCAACAAGTCAAAAAAGTTCTACAAGAAGGCGCAAATTCATTATTTACCTAGGGTTTTTTCCATTATCATTATTTATCAAGGGGGAACTGTAGCTTCTTCTTAGAGGAATGCGGAAAATAGTGGCGATTTTTCAGGTTAGTATTGAATAAACGTTTAGTTCCTGCTTAGTTCATTGGGTAATCCAAGACTTCCAAAGGGTAAACAGGTATTTTTGCATACTTGTTATAAAACTGAATAACTATCGAAAAGTCAACAAGAAAACTTATTTTACTACCCAAGCCAATGATCTAGGAAGGATTGAATCGGAAAAAATTTCGGATTATTTTTGTTTGGATGTTACATGACATACATATCAAAAAAATCCATGTCACTCATTTTCGTCGGTATAATTGGGAAAGCATAGCTCGGATTTTTATGAAATGACTACCATGCCAAGGATAAAAAAGCATTGTAGGTTTTGAAAATCAATTAACTGGCTGCGGAGGTAAGGGCTTGCAGTTTTATATCGATAAGAAAATTTATCGTAACTTTTGCGTCCTAGAATTGCTGGTTTGCTTTGTATACCTAATGTTCCGACTTCTTGACGGGTCGTGCGATATCTATCTGTGCATAGTGCACAACGTCGAGGAACTATGAGCCACAGACGTAGCGGTCTTCTGTCATCTCCATCGTATTGGATGGGGATTAAAATCAGCTTGACAAAGCATTCGTAGGAGGAGATCGTCAGATTTTCACCTACTGGTGCACAAGGTTTTGAGTTTTTCAAAAGAGAATACCCACTATGTTTGCTTCCCGTTCGTATGCTTCCAAGACTAGACCTATACCACACTGGTGAGTTGCTAGCGAGCAAGAAACAGCGCGGTCAGCGCGTGGGCACGTTACAGGGATGGAAAGCAAACATGTCCATTCCAGATTTTTAACTAATTACTTGGATGTCATATATGTTTTTTATAGATACCTATATTACGTATATTTGGATAAAACCAGTTACTTTTGAGTTTTGTCGAGTTGGTGAAATTATTATATACTGAGTGAAGAAATAGGTAAACACCTACGTATGCTTATCCGATTTTAATAATTTTTGGCATATAGGTTCAGTGTCCCTTACTAGTAAAATGATTGATTTTCAGCTTGATTCGTCAACTGACTGCAGAAGCTGATTCAATAATGTGTTGAGGATCCACGATTTCTTATACACTCATCGTGGTGGCCAAGGTGAACGGTTGATGCGATGTTGAAACTGTCGTATTCGGCGATATACCGTACGCATACCAACCATCGTTCCATTCTCTCCAAACCACCATTTTTAGCGATGGCTCGAGTACTACTGAATCTGTCTCTCAGAGCCAGAACGCCAGAAGTCTTAACCAGCGGTCTTGTTGCTCTGTGGTCCCTCTGGGACGTCCAGAACCCCTCGCTCGCTATCCTCGGCCTTCCTGAGTCCACGGTCGTTCACACTGCAGTATACTGCGTAAGGATCTGTTGGTTCTCCTAGAAACTTCTCTTATCGATAGACCGGCTTCACGCAAACCGACAATTCGACCCCTCTCAGTCACTTAGCTGGGCCGGCGAATTCTACCCACTCCAGGCATTTTGAGCAATCACAAAAAGGCTTCTCAATAAGCTACACGAAATTTAACATTTAACTTACACCGTAAATGTACGACAACTGAATACTTCTTTATCACCAACCGAAAACGGTGCGTACACCCGAGAATATCGATGCTGTAGCTGAGAGTGTGGCAGAGTCTCCAAGCACATCAACGCGCCAACGTTCTCAACAATTGAACATTTCACGCACATCATTAGGTCGAATTTTGCATAAAGACCTTGGTATGAAGGCGTACAAAGTTCAATTGGTTCAGCAATTGAAGCCAACTGACCATCCAATGCGTTTTCGCTTCGCTTCATGGGCCTGCAATCAACTTGATGAAGATGTTGATTTTGGTCGAAAAATCATCTTTTCAGATGAAGCGCATTTTTATCTTGGCGGCTATGTTAATAAGCAAAACTGCCGCATTTGGGGTTCAGAGAACCCACACGCAATCGAAGAAAAGCCAATGCATCCAGAACGAGTGACTGTTTGGTGCGGATTTTGGGCTGGTGGCATCATTGGCCCATTTTTCTTTGAAAATGAAGCCGGAGCAGCAGTTACTGTGAATGGTGAGCGTTACCGTACCATGATAAATGAATTTTTCTTTCCACAAATTCAAGATATTGATGTCGGTAACATCTGGTTTCAACAAGACGGTGCTCCGTGTCACACAGCAAACGCTACGATTGCTCTTCTGCGAAGTGTTTTCGGTGATCGCATTATCAGCCGAAATTCTGATGTTGTTTGGCCGCCTCGGAGCTGTGATTTGACCCCATTAGATTATTATTTATGGGGTGCCATTAAAGACCAATGTTATGCCAACAAACCAGCAACAATTGGCGAAATAAAAGAGAACATACGCGCTGCCATTGCTGAAATACAGCCACATACGATTGAAAATGTGGTCAAAAATTGGACTGACCGTATGGGCTACTGCAAAGACAGCCGCGGCAGTCATTTAAATGAAGTTGTATTCCATACTTAATCGGAAGGATTGTACTTTCAAATAAAAAAAAAATTTGGAAAAATATTTAGTAGTTTTTTTTATAGCATTTTTAAAAAAAAAATTAAATGGACCACCCTTTAGATAATGGTCCGAGAAACAACAACCAAAAGCTCGACTTTTAATAGACAGAGTACTGAGTGGCCGATTCCTTTTTTTAGTTCGAGTGAATTAGTTGTTAGAGTTCTTAATAGCACAATTCATTGTTCTTTGAAATATCCAAACAGAACATCTTGTGTATTTCCACAAATCCCACAACCTCTTTTTAGATACCTCGTCAAGCGTGCATGTGAAGATTCCATCGCTTTTAATCTTTTATTAAAGGGATGAAGATACGGCAGGCTTATTACGTAAAAAACCTATATGATGTCAAAAAACGGATTAAATGTCATCTTGTTGACTAGATAGCTGGTAGTGTGCTAATAGTTCATTCCGTGCCTGCACAAGTGAGCACGAAGTGAACGACAGCTAGTTGCTAGTTCATATTTTGTAGGAAAACCTACATAATGTCAAATAACCGTCATAATGTCACTTTTCAATATAAGTAATCCCGCTGCGGGTTGCGATACTTATATGTTTTTAGACAAAATATGTGATATCTCAAGAAGAACTCGACAAAGCGCACCATCTAGTTCTAGACAAATATCCGACAATGGAATAAAATATGCATATCTATAAAAATCATCATTGCTATCCAGCTCAGTACACCTGTGTAATGCTGAAAATTTTTGTAATGTTTTTCCACAGGAACGGTGTAGGTAGTTGTGAATAGTCTTTTTTTTATACTTCAACTACCACGAAGGCCTAAGGCCTAAGCACCCATTGGGTACCGTGGGGCTATAGGGGGATACATGGGAAAGGGGGTACGCCACAGGGACTCTGGCGAGGGAACACGTGTGCATGCAACATGCACACATTCTGGCTCCGCCTACGAGAACCGCCGGGTGGTACCTCCGCGTTCGACAGTCAGAGACCATCTACCACCTACGGACAATCACAACATCCATAGCCAAGAGAAAAATTTCTCCTGGGACGGGACTCGAACCCGCACAACATCCATGGCGAAGGCGAGATTCGAACTCGCGGCCCGACCGGCTGATCAGTAGCACGACACTCTGACCCACGCGGCCAACCGAGGTCCCCCTTTTGAAAAAGGTTTGCGTCTCAGAGCCATACTCCATGCTTAAAAGTTTAGGCCACCTTGTACATGTGACAGGATTGTAATATTGCTGAACCAGCCAGTATGATAATAACGAACGTAGATAAATATGAAATAACTGTTAAAT